TTTTTTTTTGGGGGTGGGGGAGTTTGGGATAGAGTAGGGCAGGATTAGAGCCCGTCAGGGTTCTATTCCAATCTGGGCCTTGGTTTGAGAGATCTTCACTCACTTCCTGTCATGGTGACAACCGTTTTACCAGACGGGAAGTAAAGGGCAAATCTTTTTTTTTTCCCTTTCATATCTCTATAGGTTGAACTCGATGAGCATGCGTCTTTTTTCAACCTGACTATGTAACACAGCAACAGAAATCTGACTGGGGTTCTATCCTTCATGTTTTACTACTCATTATTTCTGTGTTACCATTGTGTCTTCATGAAACTGATTACATAGGGAGAGAAAGTGACAGAACCCCGGATAAGAGGAAAAAACAACAACAACAAAAAAGTGTTTAAAGTAACAGTACACTAAAAGGAAAAATATAAACCAAATAAAGACAGAGGCTGGATTCACATGTACAATGGAGCACTGTCATGCCATTCATTCTGAATGGCAACCCTATACACGAAGGCATTGCACCTGCACTGCACCTTGCGCTCCCCAAAAAAAAGGTGTGGTTTTAGCCACAATGGTGTGCACTGACAATCCATCCAAAACAAATAGGATGCGTTATCATGCAATGTAACATGCGTCATTGTTCATTTGTTATCACACAGCAGAGATTTTTTACCCGATCTAAATAAAAAAACTATTTACACCTTTAAAAACAAAAAATACACAACCAACAGTTAAAAGGAGAACTCCAGGGACAAATCTTCTTAATCTTTGTAGTGTGGGCAGGGTAGCCCCACAGCAAGGGTTTAGGGCTGCAATACCTAATCGATTATAATAAGGCCTCATTCACACAGGTAACGGCCGTCCTGTACAGATCCGTGCACGGCCGTATAGGGCAGCTACCGGGAAGGTCAGGTGCTGCGTGTGATTTGTACGCAGCCCCTGTCCTTCTCTATGGGAGTACGTGACCGTACGCCCTCCCCCCTAAGGTCACCCGACCTGCATGTCTGTGCGGGTGGCCCTGCTCAGACGCTGACAGGATGCATCCTGTCAGCGTCTGAGCAGGGCCACCCGCACAGACATGCAGGTCGGGTGACCTTAGGGGGGAGGGCGTACGGTCACGTACTCCCATAGAGAAGGACAGGCTGCTGCGTACAAATCAAACGCAGCACGTCCTTCCCGGGAGCTGCCCTATACGGCCACGCACAGATCTGTACGGGCCGGCCGTTTTATCGTGTGAATGAGGCCTAATAGTTGGCAATGATTCTCATCAATAATTAGAGATCATTTTTTTTTTTTTTTTAAACAACCAAATCAATTCATTGAAAAGATAAAAAACAGGCAACTAATAGATTATGAAAATAATTGTTAGCTGCAGCCCTACAAGGGTTAAGTGCATATTTTGTCTAGGTTAAAAAATAACGCTATACTCACCTGATCTTCGCAGCTGGCTGGCTCTTAGATTGGTCCCTGGAGCTTCTCTCCCCCTCCGCTCCAGCGGTCAAAGCTCCCGACTCATCACGTACTATACACTGTGTATAGGCTGTGAGGACACAGAGGGACAACCCATCACTGCAGCAGAGGGGGAGCCAGGCTGGAAGGACCAATCGAAGGGCCAGCTGCCTTCTAAGAGCAAGCTGGCTTCGAGCATCAGGAGAAGTATGAAATTATTTTTGAACCTAGACAAACATGGGAGTACGAAACCCTTGCAGTTTCCCTTCCAGGGAATTTTTTTTTCCTCTGGTGTCCTTCTTTAAACATTGCCACCCCAATAAATAATTTGCAGAAATCACTCCACTCATCCCTAAATACAAAGCAAACAAAAGTAAAGTAACTGGATTTCTTCCCAGCAAACGAGCAGTTAACCCTTATAGCACAGAGGGAGCCGCACTGCAAGGGGATTTTTTTTTTTTTATAATCCATTGTCCCATGTGCTAACTGTACAAAGTGATTTAGAAAATATTGCAAATATCACCTACAAAAAATACTCACCCAGATTATTCTGCAACAACCAAGCAAAGAGCAGTAAGTATGTACATTTCCCCATTGCTGCAGTGAGGGGCCCAGAGGTAAACGATCCAGAACTCAGTAAGTAACTCTTCTGAAAGTCTCAGCTCCAATCCTCAGCAAAATCCCCTGCAGGTGCTTCTAGAGTCACCTGTAACCCTTGGCCCCGCCCTCTTCTATCTACCAATCAGAGTGCACTTAGAGGAGTGCTAGGAGAAAACTGAGCAGGTAAGGTGTGGTGTATCTCCTGTTATTTTGTTTCCACTCATTCTCTGCATGTATATGTATGTAAATACAAGTACAACAATGTGTTCACTCAAATGATAAACATGAACGTCAGGTGGAAATGATACTTTTGTATGTTTGTATTGGCAATTCACAGTCTGTACGTAATGCATACAGTTTGCTACATTATGCAGATGATGGACCCACAAAGAGGCCATAGACCAGTGGTACACAACCTATGTTTTTGTGGCGGCACCCTGTAAAAGTATGCAAAATCTCACAGCACCCCAGTCTATATATTTTAAAGTGGACCCCATGCAAAAAAAAAAAAGTGGGTTTCCCCATTCATATGAAAGTGTCCCCTTCAAATCAAGATCCCCCCTCACATCAGTCACCCTTTGCATCAGGAGCCCCCTTTCACATGAGAAGACCCCCTTTTTAATGTCAGAGTCTCCCCTCACATCAGAGATCCCCTTTTACATCAGGAGCCCCCTTCACATCACAGTCCCACTACCACAAAATTATGAGGCACCCCTGAGGAGGCCAGGTGGCACCCTGGTTGAGAAACACTGCCATAAACCTGAGATGCCAGTATGAGCATAGGGTAGACACGGGCCTGGACAAATCTCACCCAGACCTTGGAGCCAGCACTACCCAACCTGCCTATGATTATATAGGTAGCTGAAGGAGACATAGTGAACCTCACCGTTTAGCGCCCATTCACACTATAGCATTGTTCTGCAGTTTTCTGAATAAGAAAAATATAGGTCACCACTAGAGTACATAGAAAGAATTGTTTTCTGTGTGCCCTGTTTACACCACAATGCTTGTGTGATCGGTTATGCGCTGCGCCGCACTGGATGCCACCGAAGGTTAACACTGTTGTGCGTGGACTTGAATGGAGTTTACACATTGTACACTACCGATAAAGTTAAAAGAAAAATGTAAACAGTGGCAGTGTACGGTGTAGAGAACACACTGGCCCATCCACTATAATGCTCTGTTTTAGCGGATGGGCTACTGTGAGCGGGTCCTTTTAGCATGTTCCATGTTACACTCATATTGACGGTGTAACATAGAACATGCTTCCATTCCACGGGCCAGACACCCTCAAACCGCCCCTTCCCCCCTTACCTGAATTGCAGGGTGCTTCTTTTTTTTTTTTAACAGATTTTATTTTGATGAAATTAACAAGAAAAATACAGAACATTCCATTACTTTACCAGTAGAACAGCATACATATAACAATAAACAGGAAATGCCAAATGTTCTTAATGCTTGCCAGCATTGTGGTAGCTGCAGCTGCCTCTCACAATGCAGGCAAGTCATGGGGGGTTTTCCCAATATGATTATAAATAGCTATCGCCGTTGCGTGCTGAAATCCCGGGGCTATTGTTCGGTAAAGCCGTCGCTGCGGTAGAACATAGCATAATGTGACTGTATTGACAGGCGCTGTTGCGTGAGACAGTTTCTACATACAAAATAGATTTACTGCTATCCAGGACTCCATTAGAGAGCTTTACCCTCACTTCCTGTCCTGCTGACAATGGATTCGCCACACAGGAAGTGAGGAAAAATCTGCAACAGGGAAACACACGTTTTTTTTGCCTTCACCTACTCAAGTAAGGCCTCATTCACATGGGGCTAACTCGGGGCGTACATGTCCATGCAGCGTGCACGCCCGTATCAGGCCTTTCCCAGGAGGGAGAAGTGCTGCGTGTACAGCAGCCTGTTCTTCCGTATGGGAGGATGCAGCCGTACGCTGTCATACGTACACCCGAACTGCACATCCATGCGGGTCCAGGTGCCCGTACCTGGACCCGCACAGATGTGCAGTTCGGGTGTGTGTATGACAGTGTACGGCTGCGTCCTCCCATAGGGAAGAGCAGGCTGCTGTATGCAATCACATGCAGCACCTGTCCCTCCCAGGAACGGCCCGATACGGGCTTGCACGCCGCATAGACGTATACGCCCCGAGTTAGCCCCATGTGAATGAGGCCTAAAGGAGAATATTTGTATTTCTGTCTTTGTTGCTTTTAGTTGCCCTCCCTTCCTTTCCAGTACAATGTTGTCAGAAGGACAGAAAATGATTGGAGTCCTGGATAGCAGTATAACCCGACAGGAGTTGTAGCCCTTTTCCCACTCTATCCAAAATAATAAAAAATGTTTTTGTTGGATATACACTTTCAAAGCCCTCTTACACTTGTACATTGTTGCAATGTGCACTAAAATAGTGTGTTAACATAAGGCATGGTAACGCATTGGCTATGTGAACGATATGTTCTGGTGCCATTTATTGTGAATAGCACCCCAAAACATTGTACTTGAAAGGACAATGTGCTGCAGGGCACCATGACACATATGTCATGTGTTGTGGGGGCACTGCACTTTTTTTCATCCCTTGTGGACTGTTTGCAGCCCACTCATATTGTGATTAAACGTGTGTGTGTGTGTATGTGTGTAAAGCTTCACATACACCTATAGATTATCTGCAGATTTTCTATGGTCAGATGGAAAAAGTGCAACAGATTCCTCCATCTACGCTAAACTGTGTGGATGGAGGAATCTCCCACTGGGCCAAGCTTCAGTATCTTGCTGGTCTCAAAACACGTGAACAATGCCTGCATCCAATCAGATTGTTCAGGTATTTTGACAGCCAGCGGGGCCGACCAGCAAGATACTGAAGCTTGGCCCAGTGGCAGATTCCTCCATTCACACAGTTAGCGTAGATGAAGGAATCTGTTGTACTTTTTCCATCTGAAAATCTGCAGATAATCTATAGGTGTATGGCCAGCTTAAGTAATGTGGCAGAGGTCTCAGGGCTGCCTTAAAGCAATACACATTAATGCATGTGCTTTGATACACCACAGTGGAAGGCTTTAGTATGAGTGGGCCCTCATCCTATGTATCAGAACCCTGAAACTCATATCTGCTTGCATGGCATATCATGTACAGGTCCCATAGACAGAGATCATTGCCCAATCTGGGCATAAACCAGCATGGGCAGTTAAAGGGTGTAGGGGCATTTCATGGCTTGTAATGCAGTGATCCAGAAGGACATGTACAACGATTCCTATGAAAAGGTGGCTTTACCTTGTTACCTGGCTCTTATCTCAGCAGCCATCTCCCCTTCCCCTCCTCTGTCTTGGTTTCAGGTTGGACAGTGGAATGTGGTCAGTCGAGAATTACCATTGTGCAGTATCTCGGCAGTGGTCCTTCTCCAATAGCCTGTTTTTCTACTACCAGTACCACATTTTTCCTGCTAGAAGCAAACACGATGATGTTATTTCATTAACACAATCCGCTTTGAATTTAGAATCATCCACTTTCCCATGGCTTGAATTATATTTCAAGATATTTGTCACCTATGCCTAACTTTCAGGGGTAGTCCCAGAACTCAGAGGTCATCCCTGGAACATGTCATCTTAGTTCCAAAAGTTTAGAACTAGGGGCATTCCAAGCAAGGCATGTGCATTCCCATGCATATAATGCACACGTCCCGGCATGCAATTTTACAATGTGTTGTGTTGCAATACAGGAATTTAATTATTTTATTTGTTGAGTGGTAAGACCTAGAATAAAAAACTGTTAACTGATTAGTTTCCATATACACATCTCGTATACAGAAAGATAAAAATAAATGGTACATTAAAAACTCTGCTGTTTTTTTCAGTCCACACCAATGCAGGTTATTAGTGCCCATTCTCTTTTTTCCAGCACGGCTGCAACAAAAGACAAGGCAATTTGCCTTGTTTCAGATGGGCTTAGTTCACACCACTGCGTTGTGGTGGCAACCTAATGAAATGCCACTTGCATATAAGAAAGCAGTGCAATGCGTCACAGTCAGCACATCAGCACTGTGCCGTGCACACTCAGACCAGTAGGGGGGCGATGTAGCATGGCTGCTGATGTGAATGGCCCCTAAGTGTGAACTGGCACCATTGAAAAGAATTGTAGGTAGCCTAAGCTTGCATTTTGATTGGGTTTAAATAGCAGATATGAAACTGGACTAGCTGGTCACAGTAACTCAAGCTAATAAAGCAATCATGGAGGAACTGAAAAGTTACCTTCACCCTCACATTCCATGTGCAATCCAATCACCTCACCACATTCTTTAAATTACTTTGATTTGCAGAATGCCACCAAACTGGTTCTCTGAAAGATCTGGAACCTGTATGAATACCACCAAAGTGAATGTGGCAAACACTTAAACCTAAAACTGAACTCTATTACCAAGCAGTTTTACACTCCTTATCCCTCGTTCCTCCCGGCAGATGGTGCTCTCCTCTCTTTGGGTTGTGAGTGGGCCCAAGGCGTCCATACTTACAATGCTGATCCTGCATTGTACATGATGATATCAGAGTGCCTGCGACTGCTAAAGAGAGGTGCTGGGGTGCTGTTCGCATGAAGAGGAGGAAGCCAGCGAGAGTGAGGGATACGATGAACTAACATTTAACCGTTTCCGCGCAGGGGGAGCACTATGGCAAGGGTATTTTTACATGTTGCCCAGAGTTTACCTTAAATTATGTTATTCTGTTGCTATGGTGATAGAAATATTAATTTAATAATAATGTATTAATTATTAAATAATATGAATATTGAGTAATATGCTCATTATCTCCAGTGTTCTCTTGAATTGTATCGCCTTACTAACAGCCAACAATAAACAGAGGTTCAAACCCAACCCCATAAACTGAAGTGGTAGGAGGACAGGGCATGGAGGCATGTTATTAAAGAACAAAAATAAATTGTGAAAGGATATTTAATGAAATAGGTGATTCAGTTAATTAGGGCATATAATGCAAAATTATTTATTTTAAAGTACCTATCACTAATATAAGTTATATCAACATA